ATATATATATATAGCAATGCCTCTTTCTTCCGAAGCCGAACAAATTGTCCGAGCTTCGATTCTTTGTATCTTCATGTTTCCGCGTGTAATCGCTTATTGTACATGATTCTTCCAATCAAATGACGTCGTGCAACCGACGTTCAAAGAAAGGCACAATTTTTAGACGCAAATTATAATTTATTATAAACACTAGAAATAATGTTAAGACAGGCACAATGATATTTTATGATACATTCAAGTATTTTACAATCCATGACCATGACCATGTAACATTGTTAACATTTTTCTCTTGTAATCAACGACGTTGTCTAATGAAATAAAATAATGTTCCAGAATACTTTGCTCAATATTTTACACACTAGCTAATAATCCAGTTGTATATATCAATAATTATTAATTATTACTTAATTAATTAATTAATATAGACAAATTTCAATGATCAAATACTTATCACTCTTCTCTCAGACACGCAGTTTTTTTTCATTTATGTACACGAATAATTCCAATCCTGAATGCTCTAAGAACGCATTTCATCAGTCTTTCTGTGATAAAATTATGCACGTTTCACTGTGCAGGCGTAAACGCTTGACCACAGTGTGGACAATTGTCAGACTTATTTCTAGTTCTCTGAAAATCAGAATGAGAAGCAAGTAGTGCAACTCACTAAATGGGAATGGGAACTAAACTTCTTACTTCAGTGTTCTTCGGGCGTAGGTAGCTGCCACATCTGGCACACTTCAAACGCTTCTGATCATTTTTATATAACATCTGAAAGAACAATGTTGCATTATGCGGCATTCAGTACGAAATATGTATGCACTGATTAGTACTTTGGTAGTCAAACTCGGAGTCGCGCAATATCCACAGTAGAATCGTCCTTTCTTGTCTCTGTGGACAGTGTAATACTGATTCAAACTCGACGACACAGGCACCTGATAAAACAACGGAAATTCAAAAATAACCAGATGAAATATATTTCCAAAATATACGCGTGTATTGAGTATCAAGGTGTCTAAGTTAACCTGTATCCTCTTGCAAGCTGCGCAGACTTGCTTTGGCTCGAGGCAAGATTCATCCGCAACGATCACCTACAAAGTGTATTCTATCAGATATTACGTATGTCGAAGGCTAGCGTGTGATTTGTATTTTTTTAGCGAAGGGAATTCTGCTCGTGGCACGATTATCTCTGTCACCTCTTTACTGCAAATCATGGAATCCTCGCTGTAATCTGGCGTCTGAGCATCGGCGTCAGTGTACCTGGAAAAAATGCACCAGATGTAGAGAAATGCACACATATAGAGAAATACGTCGGTGTTCTTCTTCTTTTTTTTTTTTTTATTTTTGCTCCACTTTAGAGATAAAGAAACGAAAAATGTTAATTTCTTACGACAGGCCAGTAGGCTCGACTTTGTTGCTTCTTCGAAATCCGTAAGTTCGTTTGAATCTGTTAGCTGGGTAGGATATTCCTGCAGAAGTTCTGCGAAATTGAAATTGATAAAGTCAGAGGAAATAAATACGCGGGAAGGAATATGGTACAAAAGATCGATTGTGACTTTACGCAACTCCTTGCGTATTATCAGCCGTGTATTACGGCCGAACGTGATTACAAACGTGATTAGCACGTCTCATTTTACGACACGTTTCACTTTAAAGTGTCACATCGATAATATTTTGCTCAGCCGCAATAATGGAATGATTTAAGATATTTTTACAATGTAAAAAAAAATTGATTTTTCTAGAAGATGTATGGATATATCCTTCTGGAAAAATCAATTTTTTTTTAA